ACAGCACTTATGCTTTGCAAAGCTCTGTAAACGCAAGTTCCCAGAGAAGAAATCCAAGAGCATGTTGTGGCAGGGAAAAATATGTTTTAAATACATTTAGTGAGAATTACTGAAACAGTTCATCAATCAAGTGACACACAAAAAGTAAGATCTTGTTTTAAATCATTCTTTGCTTTGGGTACAGTAAAAGGTTAGTACATGGCAGGAAATTAAAATCGTATTTTATTTTTCCACCTGCTTCTTTCTATTATACCTTGGCAAATGGTGTAGTCTTAGTAAATTCCATAACAGGCCCCAGGGCAGTAAGGGAGCAATAATGAAACATCATTATGTTTTCTGGGAGCAACTGCAAAACCTGATTGTTAAGACTGGGGACTCACTTCAGCTACAGGTTACTGCATACCAATTTCAGCCTGCTGATAGCAGGAAAAACAACTAAGCTGGAAAATAGATAAACACTGATTCACTTCAATTACTTCATGAATAGATTTCTGACAGCATCTAACCAGAAGAATGTTTTTTTTTCCTAAAAATATTTTCTTTCTTCTCTTAAGTGCCGAATTATATAATCTAAATCTAATATCTATGGTGATTTCTATGTTGAAATCTTCAGCCTCTGCTAAACTAGTCCTGTGCTTCTGTCTTATTTTCTGTTACTTTAAAGCAGGCACAAAATGACATAGAAAGCTCAGTAAAATAAAGGATTTGAGTCAAGACTGTATTTTACCGGGTTTACTTCAGACAAAATTAATTATCGAGTTGTTGTAGCTCCAAAGAACTGGCATTTAAAGAGGCAATAAAGAACATATGGTGTCTCAATGCTAGGTGTTGAAATTTAAGGAAAGCAAGTTTGGAAGGTCTGGAGAAGGATCTGAAAGGCTTGAAACACACAGATAGAATAATAGTGCTAGAAGGGACCAAGAGATCTTCTAATCCATTCTCCTGTTCTAAGATAGGAACTGAGAGTTTTAACTATTCCTGATAGTGTGAAAAAAAAAAAAAAAAAAAAAAAAAGTAGAGATAGATAGCAGAAGTATGTGAAAGAGTGACTGCTGTAAAGGAGCATTTCTGTATAGTTTCCCTCTTTCTGGATCACATTTATCTGAGATCCTATGTATAAAACTTTGTGCAGCAGATGCTGCTGTATGATAGCAGGTGTAGTCTGTGCTCCAGCAAAATCTTTTCCTTTTAATGAGCAAATCTGTGAGCTGCACATTCACACAGGTGGTTAAACATAGTCTATTTATTGTCTCAAAGGTAGGGTTTTGCAGGCTTTGTTGGCAGCACTAGAAAGTGAAAGCACCTGAAAAATGTTATTGCCAATGAAATGGGAAAAAAACCAACACATTTCAGCTAAATGAAGGAAGCGCTGTGATGAAACACAATTTACTTACAATTCCTGTTATCACAGGATGTTGGTGAAGACATTTACTTAGTAAGCTGTTTCTATCAGTGGATAAACCCTTGCTAACAAGAACAGTATGGACGTATATAGAGAATGAGTGTTCCCTCTTTGAAAGTAATTAATAAATAACCAGCTCATTTATAGGGATCAGCATGGTAGCACTAATTCTGCTAGAAGTGGGAGCCAATCACAGGATAATCTGTTGCTCAATTCAATCTGTTTAAAGCATTTTATACTTTGTGCTTCAGGAGCAACTCCTCACATTTGAATACTTGGATCACACTCAAATGGAAAGCCTGCCTTGCAGACCCTTCTCCTATTGTTCTTGGATGTGCCTACTCAAAATCTTCACCTCACCTTTGCATAGCTTGCAAACATTGCTGCTTCTTCCAGCCCTGGTTGCATATTATCCCCATGGTAAATACAATTGCCTAATAGGAGCAAACATTAAGAAGGTATTTAATGTATTACTTCTCCTCTAATAATAAATGCAACAGCTTAAAACTAAGAGTACAACTGTCACCTGGAAAAGCTAGTTCTAAGCACCCAGTGTTTTGTGAGAGACTCCAGCAACATGCACAGTGCATTCTGAAATAGGCTTTCAGGCAAGGCAGGACCATATTTTCTGGAAAGGTAAACTTGAACTCTTTTTCTTGAATCTTAGGAGAAGTATTATAACACCTGTACTACAAACTTGAATGTTTCCTCTTATGATGATTTCCAGATGGATGGATTAACATAGAGAGCTCTACATTAAGACTTAGGATGGTCTTCTGAAAAACACTGCCCTTCCTCTAACATCTTCATGTGCATATAATGGAAATGAATGACATAGATCCATCTCATAGGAAGCTCAGCACTGGACTGGACTGAGCATACAGAGCAAATCTCACAACTCTTTCAGCAAGGCTGTGTCCAGGCCCCTAGGAAAATCCAGTGATGGCTGTCTTCAGTGAAGTGAAAAACTGCAGCACTTGAGCACCGTGAAAACTTGGAAACAGCCTTGGCAACCACATCCCAGTAATTGAAGAAGAATACACAGTCACAGCAAGTGGAAGGGATTAGAGTAAAATCTTTTTAAACAGACTCATAGTTTTTTTGTGCCTCAAGTATTTTTTTGCTTGATGCAAAATAATTTTGTCCCAGTTATTTGACAAGTATCACACATGTGAAAGTGCAAATGAAATAGGAAAATCAGAGGAGGAAGAAATAGAGGAGAATGAACTAATAGGAATCTAGCATTGCTAGGTATTTAATATTGTTTACTGTAGTGGACTCCTTTAGAATTTCATATATTATGTGAGAGAAATAAACCTCCTTTGTATGACTGCAAAGAAGACATAGAGTGTCACAAAAATGTGGAGCTTATTTTTTGCTACGACTTGTCTTGCTTTTATTTAGCCATCTAAAATTATACCTGAAGAAGGGCCAGCATCTCCTAGGTGTGAGCCATATCACATACTGAGAAATTGATCTTTGCAAGAGATTTGGGCTATGCTGAACTCCTGTCTTTGTAGAATGGACTTGGATGTCTGTCTTTTAGACAGAAACAGATGCTGACAAAATAAATTAAAAAAACAAACTATCTGAGACCCTTTGGTCTAACTTACACATTAATTTATACATCATTTTTTTCCTACATAAATGAAATCCTGATAATTACTCAAGTCATCTTCCCAGTGTCTTGTGCCTTACATTTTTATTCCTGAAGTTTTTAGATCATTACTGTCCATTAACTCCTGAAATATCGGAGAGAATATTAAAAACTATCTATTACTTCTCTAAAAGGAAAAGAATGTTATGAAAACAAACTGTGGCTTTTTAGGACTTTTTGCAATTTCCTGAGGCTTTTTCTTGAACTGGGGAACATCAAGTCCTTTCTCTCCAGCGATTCGTGGGAACACTAGACTACGCATGAGAGATTGGGTAGTTTAAGCATCCATTAGAAAGGGAGAGACAGATTAATACAATCATCTGGTTTCAAAATGTCTTTCGAAAGAGCGCTGCTGTCTCTAAAGTATAGCCTGGATTTGAAGCATGCATTGTCAGCCAGTGTTGACATAGATATGTTTGAAATGCCATCAAACAATGACTACAGTGACTGTTTTAGAGGTTTGTTTATCACCGACTTGGGAGAATGATTTTCCTTACCTCTTCCTTTAAAAGGAATTCCATATTCTATATGAGAAATGAAATAAGGCTGTTCGTTTTTTGTAGTTCATCATATTTTCCACTCGCCCTTTCCTATGTCCTTTGCAGTCACCAGAGGACTGTGCCATCAAACTCAAGACAAGGGCTCGACAACCATGGGTAACGGTGGTAAGAATCAGTTGTCAGCCAAACAGATGTTTTGGCTACCAAGCAGTGCCTGCTTTTTTTAGCAACAGTAACATAATACAGTTGTGTATTGGGATTGCAATTTGCTTTACCCAGATATTCATGCCATGTTGCACTGTTACATTGCCAACTATTCCACAGTTTTAAATGGTACATTACATTTTCTCTTGCACAGGTAAAACTTCACAGTGTTGTTTCCTGAACATCACAGTATTGATCTCAGGAATTTCTAATAGCTCAAGATCAGGCTAAATTAAAATCTTGTGCTCTGGAACACATAAGTTCCCTTCTCACTGTGACATGGTTTTAAAATTTTCTAAGTGCACGGTATATTCTGTTATTCTAATAATTAAGGAAAACTTTTAAGCAGATGCTGCTCAGAAAAACTCCCATGTGATCCAGATGGTGTGATTTCTCTTTTTCACAGCAAACTATTGAGAAATATGTTTTCTTCTATTTTTGCACTCATAATAGGTTCACTTTCCAGAGCTTCACTAGCTTGTTTATGCTCAGTTGTGCAAAGTCATGCTATAGCACATCTACTGCTTCCTTGTTATTCAGAAGGTCAGTTATTCTCTCAAAAAATGAAATGAAATTAATGTGGCATGATCTTAATCTTGACAAAAATGTGGACTGCTTATTATCTTGCTATTGGCCAGATGCTCTAAGACAGATTGAATAGCAAAAGTTCAAACAAATCAGACACCAGCTGGGTATTTGAAGCTAGGCAAATCTATAATGATGGCCGCCTTTTTTTTTTTTCTTCTTTAGGAGGAGGGGAAAAAAATGGAAGAATAAAGTTGTCCTTCTTGGGCCCTTTGAGACCTCACTTGTTTTCCATGATCCATGCTTTCTTAATGATAAACGTTTAATGGTTCAGATTGTTTTAGCGGTTTCCTTAAATACTCCAGGGTAAATTTCCTTACAGCTTGCTAATTTGAATATATCGAGCCCTGCTGAACATAAATTTAACCTATTCTTTTCTTACTCTCCATACTCCAGTTCATTGCTAGTTTTAATCGTTCTAAGAACATGTTAGAAATTAACCTTCTGCTGTGAAGACTTCAGCAAAGAAGACAATGAACAATTAATCTTTGTCTTTTTTAAATTTCCTCTTCTTCTCTTGATAATTCTGTCCTATCAAAGATATCTCCAGCAGCATGCTCTAGACCATTGCCTGGATGCATTACACTGGTTAGAGAACATATCATTAAACAGTTTCATTTTGGTTTCATGTTAATTAAACAGCTACACTGACCTGTGGTAAACTCGAGTACTGCTTCTTCACATGTTTTACAGCCACTCCTGCTCTTCAACAAGGCATGAGAAAGCAGCACACAAAACCACTAGGGGGAAAAAAAAAAAAAAGAGTGGTTCACTTTCAAGCAGACACAAAATTAGGGAAGTGAAATCTTAAAGTCATAGTCCTACTTAGCTTTCTTCTTCATAAATTAAAATCAAATCATGATTCAGTGGATTTTTCAGGGGGAACTGATAATGAAGCTTAGCATGCAGCTGGTTCTCGATGATTTCAGGCTAATCATTTACCTACAACCTCAAAGCACCAGCTTCCTCCAGTCAGTGAAACAAATCCAGCTGGATACTGATTGCTACAAGGCACTTTAAGCTGTCTGCAAAAAAAACCCACTTCTATAAAAACATTCTGTATTGGATGGGTTAAGCATACTGTTGTAGAACCAGAGAGCTGAGAACAGTCTGAGTACAGCAACATATTTTCTTTGGTAAAGGTGCAACTTGGACCTTAAGAATTTTTTTCTTTAAAACCACATTTGAAAGACATATAAAAATGCCTAATAAGACAAGCTGGATTCTTAATCCATTGTGCAATTATTCATTTCAAATTATAGCAGCAGTGTTTAAATGCAGGTGTGGTAATTTCTAAGAAAATCAGAAGATATAATCATACGTCAACATTCTGCAGCACTAACACACGCAAAATACCTTTTGTGCTTGAGGAGGTCTGCTCCTAATGTGCAAGCATTGTGGAATAAGGTTTATTTCAAGTAAGAAGTTCTTTGCCATGCAGCTATCAAAGTGAAATTTTGTGTTCTGGACACCAAGCAGAATGTAGCCACTGTCTGTGATTTAAGACTTACCAAGCATGCCAAGAATATATTAGCTTACTCTTGGCAGTGGGAATTGCATTTGTGTAACAACAAGCTTTAAAACCCTGTTAAGAAACGTTGTCAGATCTGTAACATGGGACTCATTCATTTTGTTATTGTCATTTTACTGAAAAGAAAAAAAAATTGTTCACAAGATATTTTTCCAAAAATCTGTAGGGTACTTTGGAATTTTTTTTAATTTTTATTTTTAAATTAAACAACAACAAAACAGATGGGGTAATAGCTCCATCCAGTATTTATTTAAGTCTTGTTTACAATGTAAAGGAGAATGTTTGTTGTGTCTCCTAGACACGGTGTGGTCCCTACACTATCTCACAATATGAATTGCACAAGTATTTCAAAACCACTGACTGAAGTTAGGTTCTTAAATCTATATGCGAGTATTTAGAGTCAAGTTGCTCAGCACTTCTGAATAGCAGACCTTGTATTATTCATCTGACAAAATACAGAGTAAAGAGGGAGAAAGATCAAACAGCTGACAAAGATTGGCCAGTGAGCTGAAATGCCCACCAGTAGTGTGAGGAACAAAAGTTTCAAGACACTGCTCTGCTCTCCAGATGGGTACTGTAATTTCAGTGATGTATTTACGCAAAGAAGCGGGGGTCTGTCAGAAAACAAATGGAAGAGAAATGCTGCAATGGCTAAGCTACCTGCCAGAGCTGAGGAAAAGTGGATTCCAATATTGTAACTCAAGAAAAATAAGCTTGAACCAGGGTTTTCACACATGCCAAACAAGCTTCTACATAGGGAAATATTTCTTGATACAGTCATGGAAGTTTTAAACAGTTTCATATTTGTCCCAGTACAGACTAGAAGCTTATTTTGTGGATTACATTTATATTTGCTTTTGCAGAAATCCACCTTTGTTCTCTGCCCCACTGTGATCATTTTTTAAAATCTTGATCATATATTCATGCTCAGCAGGAAAACTGCCTGTAAGTTCCCACTCAGTTTTCTTACAATCGGAGCTGTTGGAGACAAGGTTTGCTGCCTTATGGAATTGGCAAGATGCTCCTTCCTGAGATGCCTTAAGGCTGCCATTGACCTCAGGATAGCTGCAGAAGGCAGGAACAGCTGGGTCTGCATAGCTCTCGTCCCCTGGCACAATGGTTTATGGGGAAGGAAATGCTATTATAATTTGTATCCTCAGACCCTTGGCCGCTAACCAAACTATCATAACTCTGAGCAAGACAGACACTCACGCCCAGCAAGGGCACAGGCCGGATGCAGGGAACAGGAACTGGGGACAATGGGAAGAATCTGGGGTGCAGCAGCAGCCACAAGCTGTCCTCTAGTCTGCATTGAGATTCAGCGCCTTGCACAGTTACTACTATATGAAAAGGTGTGAACTATGAAAAACCAATAGATGCTCTCCATTGCATAAGATCACCTCTCTCTCATCTGAGTAATGCATAGAACTGAATTCTCATATTCCTGCAAGTGGAAATTAGAGGATTCTTATTCTAAGAAGGAAACGGCTCAGTCACTGAAAATCAGGTGGGCAGCCTAACCTGGAGTTGGCAGTGCTGGCAAGAGTCTTGTTTTGTGCTTATGGACCACAGATGCACTGCTTCTAAATCAGTCTTGTTACTGATTTTCACTATTGTTAACGTCTAATTTCTTCTTCAAAAAGTTTTACATTTACTTTTCTTATCAAGTGTTCTCTCTCCATTTTTAGGACAGGTATCCCCAGTGTTCCATTTGGGATGGAATCCTGTCCACTGTGAGTACTAACCACACACAGACAGTACCCAAACACCTCACACCTAACAGTATAGTGGGGAGTTCCACTTGTGAGTGATCTTATTGTCTACAAAGAGTGGCTGTTCAGTTTGGAAGGCATTGTACACAATACCAAAAAGCATGGATATGAAAGAATGCTTCTGCTAGAACTTGAGTTTTGTTCAGTAAATCTAATCTGGCACAGTATTTCTTCATTAATTAGTGAAGAGTGAGTGGTAATGGTCAAGGAACTGAAACTCATTATTGTATTTAATTCTCTAGAGACCAACTCTACAAGAGGTTCTGGTTTGAAGATCGTTGGGACTGGCAGAAGCACTTCTGTGAACAGAAACAAATTAGAACTGAGTAGAGACAGGAATATTTAAGCAAGTTTTATACCTGAAATTCTTTTGCCTTGCTTCATCTCCTTTGCAAACATCCAGAGTTCAGGAGGGCTGATCTGGATGAAAATGCAAAATGGGATGGGAGATGAGGAAACATCCAAAGGAGGCTGAGGGTGTGATGATACTAGTGAACTGAACATGCCCAGCTCTTAAGCATTCAGATCAACTGGCACAGAACAACCCATGTCCATTCTACTAAACTTCAATTCTTGTCTGATTGAGAGCTGCCAGAATCACTTATGTCATCTATAACATGATTTTTCGTATAATGTATGATTTTTCTCTAAACAAGACCAACTACCACATCCCAGGCTTGATCAGAGTTTTGGAGATTTTTCCCTAGATTCGGGAGGTTTCGGACCAAACTCTATGTAACTTGGTTACTTATGTTTCAGGCTTCCTATTAGTTAGCATATACTGTTTTACTATGTACAAACTGAAATGCAGTGAGAAACATCTGTGAAAGATCACCAATAAACATTTTAAGTGGATACTTTAATGCCTGTTTTCTCCTCCCCTGTAATATAGTTGTTAAATTGTATAATCTCCAGTAATGACAATTTATTGTGGTCGTGGAAGGTAGAAATACGCTACGCTTACATGACACCTTGCAAGTAAGTGCCTCACAATCTTCCACAGAGAGGAAAGTAAAGGTTGTGTTTATGGGGATCAGAAAATAGCTTACATCAAAAAGCATTCACTTCATGAGTATAGGATTTTTATTGCTGGGTGCCAACCTAGACTATCCAAATAACTGCTGCATACCACCTTTGCACCTCTGTATTGTTTTCAAAATCCATATTTGAGTATGATTTCATCCAGTGCGATTTCATTCTGGTATAATGCCATTGCCTTTAACAACATTATAGCAGCTTTGAATTATAATTGCAAGCAGACTCTGGACCTTTACAATTATAATTGCAGTTATCACCCTTCATAGAGTTCACACTGCAATGAAAGTAGAGAACTTCCTCTGACTAAATTATCCATCATCCTCTTAAATTTGCATTTTTCTCAGTAGCAGATGCACAATCAAGATGAGATTCATTGAATAACCATTTAATGTGTTTAAATTTAATAATTTTTAAACCATTTCTGATAGTCACTTGCAGTATCTTTTACCATTGGGCTGCAAGTGTAGGCTTAAAAATAACACTCAGGAAATCTTATTCCATGAATTGATCCTGCGAAGGAAAAGCACCTTGAAAATCCAGTTCTCCTTGAAGGCTGGCTTTATTATTCTTGTTACCATTTTCTTACAAAAAATCATATACTAAAAATACTTAATATTTGTACCTCAACATGGATATGCAAAAAGTCTGAGTCTGGAATTAAAGAGATTTATGCAGAAATATTTGTGTAATGCGACATCTTGCCGGTAAGAGCACAGCTACTGTAGGTTTGATTGACTGTCAGTCTAGAATTAATCTGGTGAAAATGTGGTAAAAATGTGAAGTCTAAAAAAAAAGGAAATATAAAAGATGTGGAGAAATGTTCAGCTAAGTACCTATTGCATCTTTTGATTAAAGTTCAGCTAAGAAATAGTAAGATTAACTTCAGATTCAGACACACCTACCTAGACTGTTCTTTGCACTTTCATTCTATTTCGAGGATGAACAGTGTGGGATTTTGTGAGACAATTTTTTCTCTAAAAGAATCTTGCTGTGCAGATGGTCAAAATTTGGAATTTTGAATTTCAATAGTTTTGAATTTCTGTAACTGTCAGCACAAATGTTTGGAACATTAAGTGTAGATTAGCTCTCATGGATGTAGGTCCAGGTCATATAAAAAA